TAACACATAAGCCGGGACGAGCAATATTGTTGCGTTGAGAAAACTGTATGCTAACGCGGAATGTAATAACCAAATGTTATTACAAACACACCAGACTCACGCTTAATGTGTTCTTAAGGGACTTTAATGAAAATTCACCAGACTCACGCTTAATGAATTTCCAAAAGAAAGGCGGATTACTTAAAGAAAGAAAAGGATAGCCAGATTTAAGATTTTACTTACTTTTATTTTATCAAATCACTTATTATTAAAGTTGCGTTCTCTCTGCTCTTTGGCCTCTTTCTCTCTCTATATGCTCTGAATATACTTGGGTGACTTTTCTTCTTTGATGCTTCCTCCGGGACTCACTCACTGGTAAACACTTCTTATTAGGGACTTCCTGGTGCCCACTCCGCACTTACTCTTCCTTTCCAGCCTTGTACAGAGCTTTTTATAAGCCGTGGGTGGTTGGGTGGAAATCCCTTTCCTCAGGCCCATGAGGCGATAACGGCCAAATTTTGTATTGGTGAAAAATTTTCTAATCATATCCAGAATCTCTTTATTGGTCTGTGGGCGTGAATTTTCAGAGAGAAAGGGCGGTCCCTTTTTAACTTGGGCCCTTTTCTCCAGAGATGGCTATCGGAGTGCCACTTTTAAGAGCAAGAGTGACGCTATAGCTTATAATTACTTATACATAATTGTACTAAACTTAATTAATTATGACGATACATAGTGATTATTATAAACATTTAGAAAAATCCAAGCCTTTTACGATTTATTATAAAATACATTACTGTTCTATTTATTGGTTATTCGGTGACAAAAAGATGCGCATTATAATAGCTTACAAAATTGATGAAAATCTATTTAGTATTACGGATATTTTCTTAAAAATCGGTGAGAAAAAAAAGATAAATTGCATTTTTATGGTCCCCTTCCATTGTCAGCGTGATAACACTTCACGATGTATGCGCGATGATCGTAGGCCCCTGTCAACACATGCGTGTGGGACAAAGCAGGATAGAGCGTTGATTGTAAGCTTGAGTACGCAGGCTCGGGCCACTATCAAAGTTTATATTTCGAATGCGTTTTCATCGTGGGAAATGAGGAAGGTTCCCACTCCGTTCGTCATATTTAATAATTAAATTAATAGAGGAAAAAAAACTAAGTTACGGCTGGCCGTCACACTTACATAATCGTTTGACGTTGGAGTTTTTTAAAATTCGAAAAATTTGTACAGTCGTGAAGAATAATTTTTTTAAAACGGTCAAAATGTTGATATAAACGCGAGGCTCGTCAGTATTCATTTAGAGTACGTATTTATCGTACAGTTTTATTAACTCTTTTATTTAGTAATAGTTATTAACGTCCATTAATGTGTGACAATTTTACTGAATTTCAGAAAATAAAATTACTATTGATATCATCAACGCCTTGAATCTCACTCAGGATTTACCTGCATTAACCCATTAAGGCCCATGTCAAAACAGGATAAGACAGCGCTAAACTAATTATAGCATAAGTGAAAAAAAGTATCCTTGTTTTTTCTTTTACTATTTGCAATTATTTATAAAAAATTATTTAAACAAATTACCTAAAAAGTTAATATTTTTATAAGCTGATTGCGGCAATCGATTCTACGAGAAAAAATATGACAAAAATGTACATAACATTTTCTGATCAGGCTTCAACTTGTTAGTGTAAAACGGTGATACTGAATTTTTAACACTAAGAATATTCATTCAGTTTCTTTGATGTATTCATCTTGGTGTTTTTTATACAGTGCTATAGAACATGCAAAAGAAAAAACACGGAAACTATTTTTTTTTACTCGTGCTATAAATAGCATAGTTAGTTTGACGCTATAGGTCATGCATTTTGTTTGGGATTTGGCGTATACAGGTGAACCTGTGTGGCCTGTGTAATTGTTCATTGCCGTTTTACACTAACAATTTGAAGTCTGACCAAAAAATGTTATATACATTTTTCTCATATTTTTCCGGTAGAATCGATTACCGCAATCGGTTTTTATAAATATTAACTTTTTGGATAATTTGTTTAAATAATTTTTTATAGACAATTGCAAATGGCAAAAAACACGGATATCTTTTTTTCACTTATGCTATAAATGGTATATTTAGTTTAGCGCTACCTTATACTTTTTTGGAGTGGGCTTTAATGGATTAATTCCTATAATTAGCGTTCAAATGAAATTTTAATTGAAACACAAAAAGCAATTTCCTACTAACTGCGAAAATGACGAAAATCAATGTCATGAAAACCGATCAGAGGTATGTAATTATTATACTAAATAATTCGTTGAATCAAATATTTTTCCTTTTCTGAATTAAAGTGTTTTTTTAATTTTTTAACATCATATTTCTTGTCAATGTCATGGCTTATTAATGGTTTTATAGGATGTTGCTTTGGCTCCTAGAATTCAAAGAATGCGACCGTTGAGGGACTCATTCAACGATGGACTCTCCAGTAGCGTCAATACAAATATTGTAGTTAATCAAATGTCCGACATCACATTTATTTTAAAGAAATCGGAGGTTGAAAAACTTATCATTGATTCGTATGAAAGGAAAAAGCAGTTAACTTCGAAAGCGCGAAATAAAATAGTTGACATAGTCATAAATGAATTACGAAGTTTAACTAAAAGGTACATTGTTACAATGATTGATGATTAAATGCTTATGTTCTTATATTTTCTATGTTAACTTATATACATATTTTTTTAATTTTAGTGTTGGTAATAATATATTGGAAAAAATTAGGAAGAGCATCGTTGTAACTTTTCCGTCAGAGATACTATCGACTTACTATAAAAGAAAGATTCTGGCTGAAAAAATAAATCCATCCCTTCAAAAGAGAAATTACCAATCAAGTGGAAGAATTCAAATTCACAGAGATTTTAATATCAATGAAAGCGATGACGACGAAGAGGATAGACCTGCTCAAGAGCAAATAGATGATTCAACTATAAATATAGATATGAAAAAATATATTTTTTAATTTTATTTATTATGTATTATTTTTGTAGTAATTTTAATTATGTTTCTAACCAAAATATTTTTTTCAGATGAAACGGTGAAGAGTAGTTTAAAGTAGTTGAACGAAAACCAATGTTCACCTATTAATGAAATAACTCAAATTTACTAGGATAATACATCTGATTATTGTTTGAACGATATCATACGAGAGCCAAATTAAAGTTGATGTTGTTGCTGTCGCTGGAAAAGCTTTTGTGGTTGGCATCGTGCGCTACCAACGTCGGTCACAGTCGACAATGTTAGTTACTGTATCTGTTGCTGCAAGTTGTTGTATAAAATTTCCGAGAAACTTCTTGACGAGTATAACGAGCGTGAATGCTGCTTGTTATGTCTCTTTCTCCCATATCATAATACACCCTTATAAATTAAATATGTATTGATACGTATCACTAAGTTTTAGCAGGTTCAAGTAAGATAAGTGAAAAAGGAAGGGTCGGACAAAGAGAGACGGATTCGATTATCGCAGACCGCGAGGAAGACGCTCGGTTTTTCGGCGCGTGGCAGTTTGCTCGAGTTTTTCGACGCGAGCACACGTGCACCGGCCTAGTGATCCGATTCCCCTTGGTCTCTTTCAAAATTCTCGGCGACGAGATTGGCTGTGACACCCAGGAGAGGTGAGCTCGAAGTGTCGAAGGACAAGAAAGAGAGTAAGAGTGACTATGTGCTCATAAATACTATGGTACTAAAACTTTTCAAAAAATAACCAGGTGTTAAGATATGTGCCAACGAACAAATTTACAATTTTTTTAAATTGTTGCTAATTTTTTTCCTAACTTATATTTTTACATATAAATTAGAGAAACTGTATACCTAAATATATGTAAAAAACATATTAAGTTGGAAAAAATCGATTGGTTAGTATTTCTAGGGTTTTTGAAACAGTCAAGAATTATACTGCTTTCTCTTCCTTTCTCTCTCTTTCTCTCTCTATCTCGCTCTATCTCGCTCTTTTTCTTTTTTGAATTTTTTTGCTTTATTTTTCTATTTATCATGGGTGATTTTTTTTTACTTCATTCCTTTCCTCTAATTTTGAAATAATTTTTAAAACTGCCGAATTTGTTATAATAGCTTGTTAACATATGCTCTGTTGATTTCTAATAAAATCTGCAACGAATACTTTTTTTTTGTATTTATAATAAGAACAATTGTTTTCATTCTACATTTTGATTGTAGTTTACTAAAATTTTTATTTTGCTGATACTTTTTTGGATTCAAAATTTAAGTTAAAACTTATCAACATTTAGGTATAATGTAACAGGAAGTTAAAAAAGTGTTTGATTTTTTTATAACACCATGAATTTAAATGAAAATAAGCTTTTTTGACATCACCATTTTATGCTCATAGAAGAGAAAATCATAGCATTTGTAAAACTACACACAATTAATGGTATTTAGTTCTATGTGATTTTGGTATATTCACTTTTTATTAAAATCTATGTAATTAATAAATAAAAAATATACTTAATGATTAAAATAGTAGGTTATTATTATTATTATAAATTTAAAAATAATACTTAGAAATAATTATTTGACGATCTTACAGCATTAATTAGGCTTGAAGCTCAATGTCCTGCCTCATGTGAACTAACTTGGATTCAAACCTGACGTAGTTCGAGAAATAAGAAAAACAATTGTAAAGCTAATTTTTCATACACTTCAATATGCTCTCTATTGATATATTGCTCTATTCTGCTGACATTATGAGATAAAGACTTTTTTTACGTATAGAAATCTAGAGCATATAGACTTAGGCTTAAATAACAATTCCTAAATAGTAGGGATCTAATTAAAAGATACTTCAGAATCTTAATATATTATTTAAAATTATTTAGTTTTTTATATCATTATGTAAGTATGCTTCTTATTGTACTTCTGGGTCTCACATTGACTATGAATTATCTCATATTTATGTGGGATATTTTCCAGTTATATTAAATAAATAAGTCACTCGTTATCATTAATTACCAATTAGCAGGTGATCTCAAATCACTGATTTTCTTGAGGTCATCCAAGCAATCTATATGAGGATAAATTTCCTTTGCATGTTTCATAAAATATGGAAAAATATCAGTAACATGACCTGCACCTTGCAAGATATCACTGATGACAACATGTAAGTCAACTGGCAGGGATTCAGTTTCAACACAGTATTGACGAAAGCTGTTAACAGCTTGTTGCCATAGATATTCTGTAAATGTTTTCACATCATTTAGTCGATTAATAAATTAAAAATTTTCAAATTTGCTTACAAAATTTCCACTAACTGTCTAAACCATAATCCAAAGCTAATGCCTTGATTTCTTTTTTTTGTACAAAAATATTTAAAATCTTGATTAAATCAGTTTTCTTTAAATCAGTTGTTAATTCAGCTCCTACATTAATATCATCTGTAGTTGATTTTATAAAAACAGGTTGAATCAATGGTGAAAGATTTTGATTACTGTTATCTCTCTTTCCTCTCAAAATATTTAGATAAGTTCCAATCACAGCTCTAAATTAAAAAATTATTAGTTTTTAATAAACTAACAGGATCAAAATAATTTCAGAAGCGATAAACATACCTGCCATTCATTTTAGTATTTTTAATTTGTTTTCTACATAAGAGCATGTAATAAATTCGTGATGTAGATAACATTTTCTATTTAAATTCTTTGCCATGTAACAAAATAACGTAAAATTGTAATGTAACTTATTTTAAAATAATCCATGTCATGTACTCAATATTTATCAAGATATGACCCCCCTTACCCTAGCCGGCAAAGTGTAATGGACAGTGAAAAAAAAAAATACCATTCGAAACATCTCTAATTGAACCCCACAAAAATGCTCAATATTTTAATTGAACCCCTTCAGTTGTCCCAAAAAAAATTAAAAACTATGATGATTTTTTCGTTTTTTGCAACTGCTATATCTTTAGTAATACTTAATATTTTTGCAAAAGAAACAAGGCAAAAAATTGAACCTTTGCTCGTTTTAATTGCACCCCTCTCATTTTTCAAAATTATTAATATATATGTCAAAAACAACAATATAACTTTATTGTATGTTCTTTCCAAATAACCCAATAACCCAATAATCTATTTGAAAAGAACATACAATAAAGTTAGATTGTTGTTTTTGACATATATATTAATAATTTTGAAAAAGTGAAAGGGGTGCAATTAAAACGAGCAAAGGTTCAATTTTTTGCCTTGTTTCTTTTACAAAAATATTAAGTATTACTAAAGATATCGCAGTTACAAAAAACGAAAAAATTATCATAGTTTTTAATTTTTTTTGGGATAACTGAAGGGGTTCAATTAAAATAATGAGCATTTTTGGAGGGTTCAATTAGAGATGTTTCGAATGGTATTTTTTATTTTTACTGTCCATTACACTTTGCAGGCGAGGGTAAGGGAGGTCAAGATATGCCAAGTTTACAGTACTCGAATCGATATGGTTCAGCATTGGGCAATTGTGATTTTGGACGAGATCAGTGTTGGGCATCGATGGTTTGTATCGAGAAAAAAGGCTTCCTGGAGCTGACTTCAGTGTATAAACTGAAAGAGCTCTTTTCGATTCCGCTCGTTCCAAGGTTCCGCTAAATTTTGAATTTTAAAAGGAAATGCTTTTCGCATATTAGCATGTAAAAAAATTTTATTTATGTATATAATGTATTGTACAATTGTTGAAAAGTAATAAATAATAAATAATGAAAACTGTAATTAATTAAAAAAAGTTATTTTTTAGCGACCTTGTTTTCACTCCTTTCTTATTTTATAATAATTAAAAATTGATTATTCTCTAGAATTTACAGATTATTATTTAATTTGTTATTAAATAATGAAATAAAATTATAAAAATTATTTAAATATCAGACCACCAATGTATTCTATTAAGATATACACGACTTCCGCCAATTCGCAACGTAAACTCAACCCGAGCCTGCCGGCCGAATGCCGATGGAACGAGCGAATTTGTTTCTTTTGTGCCGGCTACAGAGCAACATCGTGCTTCTATTTGCATCAGCTGTTTTTAACGGTTATGAAAAGGGTTTTCTGTATATAAAAATTGTATTAATTTCAGAAATTGAAATTATCGGTATTATTGTTTAAATTCATTTTTTTGAGAGAGAGAGAGAGAGAGAGAGAGAGAGAGAGAGAGAGAGATTATTATAATAATTTTTTTTTTTTTTTGGAGGAGAGTCTGAATCCATTTACGGACAACTGACGGAAGCCCGCCAAGTGTGGGACTCAGTAGCTTAGGCCACCAATACCCACTAAACATATCTCTACTTGTTCACACCGCAAACAGCCCGGAACTGTTTATCACATTATTTCAGACTGGGCGGCTGTCATTGTGTGTCCAAGCACACATTCATCTCTTTAATACTCATTCATTCCCGAATAGGCTCTGAAATGTTCTCATTCATTCAATTTTCCAAGCATCCATCCGTCTTATTGTTTCGTAACACATTCGAAACGTACAGCGCGATCTTACGCTCTGCGTCAGCTATTGTCAACATTACGTTCGTCACGTTTTCTGGCGTAATCGGCCCTAATTCTGTCTCCAGTCTCAATCTTTGCTCGGCCCAACGGTCGCACGCGAAAAACGTGCGCTCCGCGTCGTCCCAAGGTTAGGGTGTATCAATATGCACAGTCTGGGGAAACTACCTTACCTATTCTGTGCAGGTACTTTCGGAAGTATTCGTGTCCGGTCAGAAACTGGATGAGATAGAAATCCACCTCCCCGTGTTTTCTGTCTTTCCACGGACCAACGTCTGGTATCAGTCTGTGGGTCCAGCGTCCTTGAACGTCTGTCGTCCATCTTATTTACCATTGTTCTGTCGTTTTCGTTCGTTCCTCTGTTGCAGCGTCGGCCCTCCCTACAGTCGCACTTCAGTCGTAAATACGTTTCCTTTCGCCTGCCAAGAGGTCGATCGGGATAACGCTCGCGATCACGAATATCGCGTTATCCGAGACTGTTCGGTGCGCGCACGTGATTCTTAGCGCTCCCGTTCTTTGTACGCTCGTCATAGTCTTTGCGCGTCTCCTTACCCGTAACGAGTTGGCCCATACCTCTGCTCCGTAAAGCATGATAGAATGGGTTACGCCCATCAACAGTCTTCGTATACTCGGTTTCGGTCCTTTCGTGTTTGCCATCAGCCTACTCAAGGCCTTGGTCCTTTCGCTAGCTCTGGCGGTCGCATCTCGTATGTGAGGCCAAAAGTTCAGTTTTCTATCTAGAGTCACCCCCAGGTACTTTACCTCACTTTTGGTCTCCAGTCGTTCCGTACCTATGGTCATCGGTATTATCGTGTCTATTCTCTGTCTCGTCAGTATCAGTAAGCCTGTCTTAAAAAGAGCCAGGCTCAGTCCGTGGTCCGTCATCCACCCATCCAAATGCCTCATCACCTGGCTCAGCTTGAACTGAGTCAGATGTGTGTCGCGGACTGTTATTACGACTGTCTATCTATTACGGCATGTCTAGCTCTATTAGTCCGTCGTACAGTACGTTTCAGAGGTCGGGACCAAATATGGATCCTTGTGCCACCCCCGCTGTAATTTTCCGATACTTCCGTCCTTCCGTCGTTTCATACGTCAGTCATCGGTCCTTTAAGTAATTCTTCAAGACTCTTAGAAGGTAGGCGGGCATCTGAAAGCCGTCTAGTGCTCTCAGAATATCCACCCACCTAGCAGAGTTAAAGGCGTTCTTTACGTCTAATGTTACTAGGAGCGTTATAAGTCTAGCTTCGTAGCAAATCTCGTTCATTCTGTCAACTACCTGTCTCGCGTCTGTATTGCTCCTATCGTTGAGCGTCCTTTCCGGAAGCCGTGTTGTCGGTCCGATAGGTCGCCAGCGGCTTGCACTGCCGCGTTCGGTCTTGATCTCAGTAGCAGTTCGTATAATTTGCCGGTCATGTTGAGGAGGCTCAAGGGCCTATACGAATTCGGCTTATCGGGGTCTCCCTTGTCTTTGCCAATGAGTACCAACCTCGCGTTCTTCCAGAGTTTATTGAAAACACCCGCTGTCAGTCACCCACTGTACAACTGCAAGAGTATGTCGGGCCGTCGAGTCGCTACATACCGTAGCAGTTCACCCGATATACCGTCTGGTCCATGAGCCTTGTTCATCTTCAGCAAGGTTGTCGCTCGTATGAGCTCTTCCCTTGTGAAGCAAGGACATTCTATTTCTTTGTCCGTGTTCGTGTCATCGATTCTGTCAGGATGCGTTGAAAAAGGACCCTCAACTATCTTTTCCATTGTTCTAGCGTCTTTTCTCTCCGGTGGAGCTCGGACGCCTAGTTTCCAGGTCACAATTTTGTAACCCATCCCCCACGGGTCCTAGTCCACCTCGTCTGTCAGTCGTGTCCAGCATTGTCGTTTGCTGTCCGTTATAGCTTGGCTCAGCCTTTTTCTGGCAAGTTTGTATGCCTCTGAGGCTTCTTCGTCATATCTGTTTCTTTATCTTTGTGTCTGTCTACGTCACCGGTGACATTCGCGTCTGATATCTGCGATTTTTTGCGTCTACCAGTACAGCTGTCGTCGGTCGCGTCCGTATCGTTTTATCGGCATCGTAGCGTTGCATAGGTGACGGAGGTATTTTTCCGCCTCCTCAACTAACTTCTCCGCCGAGTGGTTTTCGTAACAGGCTCTGCATTTTGCAGTAGTCTGTCGAGTTCTTTTCTGTCCAGGTGTTTCGTGTCCCATCGTAGATAACATGTTACCTCTTCGTCTAGTCGTATTTTCGTCTGTTACTTCAAAGATGATGTATTGGTGATCACTGGCTGTATATTCCTCGATCACTTTTCATCCTCTTATTCGCGTCAATAGTCTGTCTGTTGCCAAAGTCACGTCTGGTATAGATTGACCCCACCCCGGTCGTCTAAATGTCGCCGTTTTTCCCTCGTTTACCACTACTAGTTCCAGCCTCGCGGCCATCTCTAGTAGTAGACGTCCGCGACTGTTTGTCGTGGGCATACCCCACTCAATCGCCCGCACGTTAAAATCGCGACGACCGTATTTTCGGATATATTCCGCACTGCGTCTTCGATATCTGTGAGTCTGTTGGCATACTCCAACGCGGAATAGTTCGGTGACAGGTATACACTGACGATAACGACAGTGCCCATCCTCACCCAAACATAGTCCGCCCCGGACCCGCTTGCCGAGAAGCATCGTGCAGACTCGCATCGCTTCGTTTCCGCGTACCCACATCGCCGTCGTGTTCGATTTGCTAGCGAACCACGATGGCTCAGGTCTGTTCCTGTATTGTTCGCTTATAACAAGCACGTCTGCGTTCATCTCCATCGCAATTTGAGGGAGGAGCATGTGTGCTACGCTACTCCTGTTCACATTGCATTGTAGTATCGTCAATGCAGTAGTTCTTTCTGTCCGGCCCTTTACATTCTCTCCGCGTATGTCCGTACCTGAGGCAGTTGAAGCATCTTTGAGGATGAATGCGTAGTCGAACTCGACAATTCATCCATCTTATTTTGATGCGTTCCCTGTCCATCAGTCTCGTTACTTCCGTCGTGTCGAACTCACAAACGGCTCGCGCATTCCCATATGCGTTTGGCGCAAAGAGATGTACTTTTCGCTCCGAGTCCGTATTTAGTTCGCGATTTATCGCATTCGCGATGTCCTGTACCGTCGTGACGCAGTCCAAGTCAGCAAACTCCAGCGTCATCTTGAAAGTTAAGTCTTTTACTGTCGCAGTCTGTCCTAATACTTTCTGAAGTGTT